CCAAAAAAATTTGAACCCTAAATCGCTTCTGAAGGGCTAACAGCATCAATAAAGTGGCTTGTTTCTGAATTTCATTTTTGATTTTTCAATGTGCACTTGTAGCCTATACGTTAGTTAAGATTTGTTGCTCTTTTAAAACAGCTATACTGTATTTAAGAATGCTTCTTTTAATTGACAAAAAAAGCACTTACTATTATAGGTTTTTCTGAAGCTGTACATTAAAAAAGTTTTACATTATTAAAGTAATTATGTAAAATAACTGTGAAATTTTTTTTGAGGAACAGGTTACTGACTAAAATAGCCAAAAATTTGTAAATATTTTCACACGTAAGAATCATTAAAAATTATTTCATTTAATCAGACTCACAATTCACTGGCTGTAGAGTCAGTATATCTTTTTCACTCTATAAGTTTTTAAAAATATACGGCGTATGATGAACTGAAACGTAGTTCCACTAGCTGTGTAACAGCTTTTTTCAACTTTATTTGTCTTCAGATATACAGCAGTCACTTAACTCATCATATTTGGTAAGTTGTGGAAATGTTAGGAAAAAAAATAATAGCTAGATGATACTGTAGATATTTTTTATTTGATTTAAAGAGTGAAAAAATCAAACAAAGAGAAGTTTGTAAATGAAGATCATATAATACAGCAGATGAAAGCAATATGAATGACAATTAGTTTTACGGGAACTACACCAAATCATTGTTGACAAGCTTTTGTGAGGTCTTATTTATAAGTTAAAAATTAAACAGTGAAGGGTAAAGTTGTAGAACAAACTGTAAGGGTCAGGTCATCTGAGGTTTTTGTCGTTAAATAAACATTGGTTTACGTATTTGAGCGCAAAAAAAAGACTTTTACCGATATTGAAAAAAAAATTATCTTAGTCATTTTACCTAAACTTAATCAGCTAATTAACTGTAAATAAAGCTATTTCACTACCACTGCAATGCTTCTGTCCTAATAATGTTGGTGCATTTTTTCAGTGCTTTGTAATTTTAAATAGAAATTTTTGTCTTTTTTGTAAAAAATTTTATTCTATTTTCTGCAAAAGCAGTACTATTCTGAGCATTTGGAAAATGTGATACTACCTGATACTTATAGCGTTGATTCGTAAAAAACGGCATAGAACAATTCACACATAGATACATGCAATTTCGTGAAATAATCGTAGCAGGTGTCAAATAAATA